CTGTTCTCAAGCAGCACTACCGAGAAGAGTCTCTGAATCTGAACTCATATGGAAATCTTAATGCTAGAGAAGATCAACACAGCAGCCAATATAGTCTATTTCTTGATGGGGCTCCAAGGAGTTTTATTGATGCATGGTCTAATGATGCAAATTCTGGAAACACAAGTTCTATGTCCTCAGATGGGAAGCTCCCTCTTTCGCCACTCAGTCTATCAATGGGAGGCAATAGGTCTATTGATGATGAAAGGGGTCAGATCCAAATGGGCTTAGGCCTAATCAAACCAGATCAAAACCAAGAATGTGGCGGTGACACCAGCAGCACACCAGGCGGGCCCTTAGCGGAGGTGTTACAATTGAGGACAGTCAACATCGATACAGGAACTAATCAATCTTCTTCTATGATTGAAAATGGAGATTCTATTTGTCCTCCAGCCACTAGAGTCTCTTCACCATCTGAGGTTTTGCAGAAAACACTTGCCTCACTTTCTGATAGCAGTGGTAATAGCAGTCCAACACTTGCCAGTTCAAGGACCAAACCTGAAATTGCCATGCTTTGGTTAAATCAAGCCTAAACTTGAAACCTTTGTGCTTAGTTAAGATAAGGGCTTTTAGATTCGACATATTTTATCATCTTGGTTGTTCTGTTGTCTTTTGGTGAACTGGAGAGAGTCCTGTTTGGTTTATATGTTGTGTTGTAGGGTTGATGTTGTGTTGTTCTTTTCTTCTTGGATCTTCTTCGGATATTAGTGAGGGAGACTTGTCTTAGCCCTCTTATTTTCGGAAAATATCTTTTATTTGATGGAAAAATCTCATTTTGACTTGATGAGGACAATTCCCTTCCTGCTCTGTGTCCATCAGCCTTCACATTTTCAAGCTGTTCTAGCTAACGATTAAGGTGTCCTATGATCCTCCTGCATGGTTTAGCAACAAAATAGTTTCCAAACTTCGGATCTTGAGTTTAGTTTACATAGCCTTGTGTATACTAGTATATTGACCAGCCTACCGCAGCGGTCACTAATAATTTTTATCTTAAATTAAAAAAAATATATAAAGAATATAGTGAATATTTGAAGTATCTTGGTCTGGCTTGAAGCTGAATATAGTTAATATTTTGAGTATCTTGGTCTGGCTTTAAGCTGCCAAGAGCTTCAGTTTGGGAGCGCAGTCAGATACGAAGTTGGATCAATCATATTTTTGGATCTGACTATAATACTGGATCTCATAGAATTAGATCGGGTTGTAGAGCCGGACCTTATATTCTTGAATTAAACTATAAAGATGGACCTAATATTTTTAAAAAATAAAATTAAAAATATTTTAATTTTTTTTTCAAAAATATATTAATATAATAATTTTTATATCATCATATCAAAATAATATAAAAACATCAAAAAAATATTAATTTAAAGTAAAAAATAAAATAAAATAAAATTAATTTTTTTAAAAGCATTTTAAAAAAAAGAAACATTTAATAAGAAAATTTAAATCAATATCAAATGAAAAAAAAGTTATTATCACCTAATTTTTATATGATATAAAAAAATATCATTAATTTTTTTCACAGTATGAAAAAAAATTAAATAAAAGAAAAATTTAATAAAAAATATCTTGAGATAATTTTTTTTTATTTTTTAAAATATATTTTTATATCATCATATCAAAATAATATAAAAATATCAAAAAATATTAATTTGAAGTAAACAAAAAAATAAAATAAAAATTTAATTTTTTTCAAAAATATTTTTAAAAAGTAAAAACAAATATACTTTAAAAACAAATTCAACTAAGTCTCAAATATTTTTTTTTAATTATCACTCAATTTTTATATAATATTAAAATAAATTTCATTAATTTTTTATAATATAAAAAAATAAAAAAATAACATTGACTCAGCTTATTTTTTCTATTCCAACATCCATAGAAGAGAGAGAGTTTCTAAAAAAAACATGTTAGAAGAGTTACATTATTAGGCCTGTTGATAAAGGCCTTTGACGACCTGTAGCAGATCTTAGCGACTCCTGGGCCTTTACCTTTTGTTTCAAAAAAGGTTTTATACCCATAAAATACACTAACTTACATTAAAAAAAAAAAAAGAAGGCAATTGCCCATAAGGGGCAGTGATGTTTTCTTTAAGATAAATACCTTATCATGTCAATCACCCTTTTAGTATTAACATTAACAAATGAGTTATTCCAGCCTTAAGATCCAAGAATGATGTTTAATAGGTTAATTTGAATTAACTCATATTATTTTTTTTTTGTTTTTTTAATTGATTATTTTTTAATTTTATTATTCAACATTGATTTAGTTATGAATCAAACTTTATAATTTATTTTGATTATCTTTTCACAGGGATATCCTGGTTTTATGATCAAGGTTGTGAATTTTGATATTTTAACCCTAATTAAATCAGGTTGTTTTTTTTTGTTTTTTTCCTAGAGGTTATTTCGGTCTTATAACTTGAATCACAAGTCATTTAACATATGATTTGTTTTTTTATTGATTTGTCCTCGTCTCATGACACGAGTAACATGTTTGATGGGTTAATTCAGTTGACTCAATTTTTTTTTAATCGACCTTTTTTCTCTTATAATCTCGTCCTTTAATATTGTATTTGATTAGAAATTAAGTTTCATAATTTATTTTGATTTGTTTGTTATTAGGTTATCATAGCTATATGACTCAGGAGTAGTGCTTAACGGGTTAACTCGAGTTGATTTGACTTGTTTTATATTATTTTTTAATTAAAATTTTTAAAAATTTCATCATTCAACATTAGATCCAACATGATCGATTGAAAATTGAGCTTAATTATTTATTTTAATTTGCTCTTTATAGAGTTATTTTAGTCTTATGATCATAGTCATGAATTTGACAACTTAATCTAAATTAAATCAAGTTATTTTGTTACTTTTATTTTCCGTGTCTAATTATAAAAACCATCAAACATTCAAGACAAAAAAAAATCATAAAATTAATGAGTTTAGATTGCTAAAAAAAAAAAAGCTAAATGATATTAACACATAAATATCATTTTTAGACAAGTCATTTCATTCAATTGGTTAATGACACAGACTTAAAACAAAACACAGGAAGACAACTTGAGGAAAAAAACACAAAATTATTGTTGAAAAGTGTTTTCATACAAGAATTCTAAATCGTATGTTATTACTAAATAATTATTTATGATATATTTCGGTCTTTCTTTAACAATTCTTTAAATAAGCTAAAATCCAAAATTATGTTGAAAATCCAAAAAAAAAGAAGAAGCTCAAATAACATCTTCAGAACCTAATTTGAAGTTCTCTCAGAGGTTAGTTAATTACAATAATCTAAACCTCATATAGATTAAAGCTCGTAGAATCATTTGATAAAATAATTATAGGATAATTTAAACACATAAGCCAAAACAAGTCATCTCTTTTCTTTTTATCATACTACCTTCACATCTAAAATATAATGCCCCCTTTGATATATATATATACACGAGGCTTGTGTTATCTTTATTAAAGAATCACCTTAATCTAATAGTTTAAGTTGTTAGGTGAAGTTTCAACATATAATTTATATTATTCTTTAACATAGCTTCTTAAGTGAAAACCTTTTAAATTTGAAACTTGTATATATCCATACTATTTTATGTTTTATTTTTATTAAATAAATGAGCATAATAAGATTTAAATTTATGACTACTTAGTTATTAAAGTTTTAATACCATATAAAAAAACTATTTTAATATCAAAATTTAAACTGTCAAATAAGATTTTAATATATAATATTTATTATTTTCCGACAGCTTTCACCTTTTAACATCAATGTTATTGGCTCATAGTAGAGTTACCAAGTGAGACGAAGAGCATATGATAATGTACAATGGTGTAAGGCTCATTTAGTGACTCCTAGATATAATATACTCAGAAAGAATCCTAATGTGGATTTTGATGTGAGACCATTTAGCAACTTGTCTATGTCCATGAAAAGAGAAAATATGAATCCTTCAACAATGAAGTAGGAGGAATACCCTCTGCTTTACTTATACTCCTAACTAATTTGTCTCCTTTTCTTCTCTTTTAGCAAAGCTGCAGTTGCAGCCATTACTGCTACTTTTTAGCAACTTATTCTCGCCTTCTATTTCCTGACAAGCTCTCTATAAGCTTCGAATTTGCTTTATTTGTTTGGGTATATTTATAGTCTTCAATTGGTAAAAATTACATCTCTTCGTCAATGATTTTGGCCACGCAAATCATGCCAGATTTCTTGTCAATTTTAATCATCATTCAACCTTTTTGAACTACTATGCAAGGTAGCCAACTGTTAAGGTTAAAATGCTGTCACTAGTAAAATTATCCTAATAACTATTTAACTTGAATTTATTTAGTTTACTTGTGTTAGAAAAAAAGTAACAATAGTTAAAGTGAGGGTTTAATATAAATATATATTACGTAACTCTACTTTAACATATAGAATATAACTCTTTATTCATGTGGATTTAGTTATATTATTGAATTATGTTAAATTTATATGTTTTTCTTGTTTTTTCTACTATGCAATGTTCATTTTATGGTCTTAAGCAAGCATCACATGGTTTCATCACCTTACTACTATAAGAATTTTGTTTCACCAAGATAAACTATTTTTCCTTCACTCATCACTCATGAACTGAAATGATAGTTATATTACTGTAAGTAGATAACATCTTTTACATCCTTTTTAAATTGTTTTTTTTATAAAAAAAGATCCTTTTTAAATTGTTTTTTTTTTTTATCAAACTTAGAAAGTGTAGGGAACAAACATCATTCATAGAGATCCATTCAAGGTTGATATTTATACTAACATTCTATTTATAATTATTTTACTGTTGAATTCACAAACAGAAATATTCATTGAAAGAATCGTCTTTGGTGATTTTTAGTTGGTTGGTAAATTCATTATTAATAAATTTATTGATGACTTTCCAAACCAACCATACACAAAAAAAAAAAAAAACTTATTTCATTACATCATACGTCTTTCATTATATTTAACATATCACTCCATAGAAAACCGTACAGAGGCCAGTTGAAATGCAGGGCATAGCTAGTGCTTGTCTACCTTGGGGATAAGTGGACCTGCAATGGATTTCTCATCGCCATTATATGCTCTATCTTCTCGGACAAATCAACATCATTTCCGTCAACAGCCTTCCACTCATATTTCCAAACTAAATTAGCCACATAAAATTCCAGAAGAAGAATGGATAATTGGTAACCGGGACACATTCTCCTTCCCGCACCAAATGGCATCATTTTAATCTCCCGGCTCCCTGTAATATCAAATTCTTTCGTAATTCCGTTCTCATGATTCAGAAACCTTTCCGGCTTGAATGCCATGGGATCTTCCCACACCTTTGGATCCCACCCCATCTCGGCAACCAGGAAATTTATGGCTGCATTCTTTGGTATCAAATATTCATTATTCAAGACAAAATCTTCCGTCACCGCATGTGGAATCAGAAAACGTGCAGGAGAATGCCGCCTCAGGCCTTCTAAAATCACTGCTTTCAAATACGACATCTTTTTCAAATCAGATTCGTTTACCTCCTTCACATCTCCATCTCCAACAACCCCTTTTATCTCCATGAATAACTTTTCTTGAATTTTTGGGTATTTAACCAGATTTGCCATGATCCATTCCAAGGCAGTTGTAGTAGTATCAGTTCCCGCATTTAGAAATTCGCTGCATAAATCAGAAATTTCCTCCTCGTTGAGTTTTCTTTTGTCATCGGGAAATTCCAGAGCTAATAATGTATCCACGTAAGGTACAGCATGATCATGGTGAGTGTCCATGCCTGTCCTCTCTTCCTCTTGCAACTTCTTTCTAGATCTTATTAAGGGAATTGTTACATCTTGTACGCTTTGACGTAGCTGAAACAATTCCTCCCAGCGTCTACGCAACACGATCTTGGTCACTCTTGGCCATATATTGAGTGTATCGAACCTCCGAGAACCCAAAAACGCTCGATGCACTACTTCCTGGATTTGTTTAATCTGGTCTTCATCAACCTTGTCACCAAAACATATTACGACAAGCAGGCAAAAGATGGCATATAGAAAGTGCTCCCTCAAACAAACAGGCTGACCAGATTTTCCTTGGGATTCCAGGCGTTTCTTAAGGATTTGTAGCGCCCAACGGCGGGAATGAGCGGAATATTTCGCGCAGGAAGGATGGAGAACGTTTTTGGTAAGGTTTTGCCGCAGGAGACGCCAAGACGGGCCATAGAAAGAAAGACTAACAAGTCGCCGATTGCTGCCTCGAAATCTTTGAGTCTCAGAAGCTGGTGGACGGCTTGCAAAGATGGCACCCTTTTGGATCAAGGCCTTGTGAGCGAGGAAGCGGTCAGCTATAAAGATGACGGGGCGAAAGCCGAAGTAGATAGTCAGGATTGGGCCAAACTTGGCATGTAGTGGGTTGAGGATGGAGTGGATATTAGAGGGAGATATGCGGCCGAGCCATAGGAAGTTGCTAATCACTGGAATCGATTGGGGGCTTGGGCTTGGAGGGAGTTTGTGGTGAGCGGGCTTCTTGCTGATGAAGTATCTGTTGAGAATGAATTTGAGGAGGCCAGCGATGGAGATGGAGAGGGAGATAGAAGTGAGGATGAGGAACCAATGATCCATATTGACTTTGAAATGAACAAGTGATGATTTGTAGGAGGCATGGGAGAAGGTCTATATATATAAACTAGCAGGATCAACTTGGACATTGAATTTGAGGGGTCCTCTCTAGAAGAAGCTTAACATGATTAGTATATACGTATGACTTTAAATAATATCTCATTTAATTAACAAGTTTTTATGATCAATTTGTAGAGATTTCCCTGTAACTAGATTTATTTAACATTAAATGAATTGTTTCTATCATTTAACAGGAGGATTAAGTACTCTAGATCAAGGATGTGGTGAACAAAATCTCATGTATCGATCCATCCAGATCCTTGATAAGGATTGAGTGTGGTGCGAGACAACAATGGATGCATGATGATAGCGTACAATGTCACTATACTATAATGGAGCAAACTGCTACTCCTTTCAACGTACGTCGGGAAAATGATAGTCGTGTAGGCAGGGCCAGTTGAATTGAGGATGGAACTGGAGGTGGTGGGTGGAATTTCTGGTTATGTATGTTTTATGTTTATAATTTGGTTATTTAATTTTAATAAAATTATGTTTTGATTTATAATTTTTAAAAATTATTGTTTTAATCCCTAAAAAAATTAACATATATGTGTGTTGTGTGTGCATATATAGTTTGGTTAATATTATGTTGGTTTTGATCACTATGAAATCCGGTATATCTGAAAAGTTAATCTAGAACCTTAATCAAAACTTGAGCTTATAATTAACCTAGTTAAATCTTTGTGACCTGACATTTTATATAT